AACGTGGTCTGCGTGGTGTACGATGTCACCAAGGAGGCCACGATCGAAAAGGTAACGGGTCCCCTGCCGGAGCCCTGAGCGGCCCCGCTCCGGCAGCCAGAGGGGAAGGGGTTCCCAGCGCTGGGTCCTTCCCGGCTGCCCTGGCTTTTTGGTGTGGGTGGGTACTGATGCACCCCAGCCCTACGGGGATTTGGGGCTCGAGACCCCTGCAAGCAGAGGAAGGCAGAGCACAGCCCGAGCTTGCTCCCACGTTGGCTGTTTTCCTTACGTGCTGGGGGGCAACAGGCCTGTTGCATCCTTCTGCTGGCATCCAGCATCCCCGGGTCTGCTCTGCCTGCTGGTGCGGGGGAATGCCGGGGAGCAGATGGCTGCAGGGCCCTGCTGACTGCCGCGGCGCCTGTGCTGGGAGCTGCCTCTCCCTCCCCAGGCTGCGGTGACAGCCCTTTCCCTGTGCTCGCCTTTCAGATTCGCACAAAGTGGATCCCCATGGTGAACGGAGGAGTTGAAAAAGGCTCCAGGTACCGTGTGTGGCGTGGTCCGCGGGTGCAGAATCGGCGGATTCTGGAGGCTGCGGGGTCCCCACCGCTTTTGCATCATGCAGGGGATGCTCAGATCAAACCAGCTTTGTGGCTTGTGGCCAGACCACTTGTAGCAGAAGGATGTGGGGGCCTTTCTCCCTCGCAGATCTAGCTGAGGCAGAGGGCCACGGGAGAGGGTTCCTTCCCCCCTTGATCTCTTCTCAGACAGGCAGGGAGAGGAGGCTACTGAGGGAGTAAGGGAGCACAGAAGCCTCAATCTGCGTGTGGATTGCTTAGGCAGAAGGCTGCTGTGCTGGATTAAAGGCTCCTGAACATATTGTTGCTGGGTGAAAGCGTAAGCAGGATCAGGCAGTCTGTTTCTCCAGATGGATGCTCCTAGCCGTGGGAGGCAGGAAAGCTGCTGTGGACCTTTGCGGAGGAGCGTGGAGAGGCTCCCCAGCTTGCTGCCTGGGAGCACGCGTGGCTGGGGCAGGGCCGAGACCAAGAGAGAGGTGGCCTCACTCGTGCTCTCTGACATTCCCGTCTTTCTTCCCCAGGATCCCTATTATTTTAGTGGGAAACAAGTCTGACCTGCAGGTGGGGAGCTCTATGGACGTCATCCTGCCCATCATGAACCAGTTCTCAGAGATCGAGACCTGCGTGGAGGTGAGGGAACTGGAGGGTTTCTGCAAAGCCTCCCTGAGGGGGTAGGAGCGCTTGTCTGGCGTGAGCCAGGGAGCCTTCGTGCTTGTGGAGATCTGCCCTGCTAACGTTGCTCTGCAGAAGTACCCCGATCTGGGTCTTGAGGGCCTGTGCTTTAGGCTTTCTGTCCTTTGCCTTCCTCACAGGGAGTGGGTTTCGGTGTCTCCCCGCTCCAGCTCTCCAGCTGTAACTGGTGGTGGAGCTACGTGCAGCCCCTGTTGGCTCTGGGGCTGTGGAATGGGCGCAGCAAAGCCAGAGCATGAGCAGGAGGTTTCCCTTCTGTTTTTTCCTGATGGTGGACAGACTTTGCTCTGTGCTTCGATGCACAACTTGTCTGGCTTGGGGAGCTCCTATCATCCTTCTGCCCCTTGTCACCAGCCCGTCGCCTGTCCCTGCTCACAGGACTGTCTCTCCCTTTGAATCCCCAGTGCTCTGCCAAGAACCTCAAGAACATCTCTGAGCTCTTCTACTACGCCCAGAAAGCTGTGCTGCACCCCACAGCCCCCCTCTATGACCCAGAGGAGAAGCAGGTAGGAAGCACTGCTCGCAGCCGGAGGAGTCTCCTTCCCGTCACAGCGCTCTGGTCTGGTGCTGTGCTTTTGCCCCTGGGTAGGAGGCTGGAAAGTTTGGGCCGAGGCAGCCAGAACAAGGGGAAAGCGGTACCCCTGCGGGGAGCTGGCAGAGGGGTAAATACTCATCTCCCGTGCTCAGCGCAGCCTGCTGAGTATATCCAGGCCAGAGAGACCTGCGAGGACCGGGGGCGTGGTGGGGTAGAAGCCCTCGTGCTCCAGACCATGCGGCAGCCATTGTGGGCAGGGCCCAGGAAAAAACTTCCCTGTGGGCTGCCCTGCTTCTGACTCCCGCCTCCAAGGTGGCTGTGGTACTGGCCTAGCTGGACCGTGTTCCCAGCCAGTGCAGGAAGGGGACCTCTCTGCGCATGGGGTTTCAGGAGGCAGGAGGAAGGGCCAGGCTGAAGGTGGTGCCCTGTTTTTGTCACCGTGGTTGGTTCCTTGCAGCTGAAACCTGCATGTGCACGAGCGCTGACCCGGATCTTCAACCTCTCGGACCAGGATAACAACCAGATCCTTAGTGATGATGAACTCAACTACTTCCAGGTAGGGCTGCCTGCAGAGCTGAGATATTCCCCAGTCCCTTGTGGAAAGCCCCTGGTGTCCCCTTTCCGTCCAATACCAGGCAGAAAGGCTGCCCGTCTCCTGACACAGCCGTCCTGTTTGCATTCAGTACTTCTGCTGTTGCACAGCTAAAGCACCGTAGGGAGCTTCTCGGAGCACATGGGGATCCACAGGTCTTCCATCTTCACTAAACTTGGGCTGAGTTTGCTCTGCAGTGGGAGGAGCAGGAGGCTCTGGAGGTGTTGGGAGTCGTATGTTATTGGGATGCTGAAGAACAGGGGTTTGGTCAAGGTCTAAGGCGGTAATCCCTGAGCTGGGTGGATTTTCTCTCCTGGAAACACTGTCTCCTTGTCAGGGGAGAGGGATGCTGGCGAGACAGAGGGTTGTGCTGGCTGTGTGCTTTGCTGACAACGACCTTCTTTCTCTTGGGAGGTAGAAGTCCTGTTTTGGAAACCCGCTGGCTCCCCAGGCCCTGGAGGACGTGAAGATGGTTGTGTGGAAGAACACCACGGATGGGGTGCAGGACAACGGCCTGACGTTGAACGGTAACAGCACAAGGGCTCCATGTCCCTTCCCAGCAAGGGACGGAGGGACCCATCTCCTTCAGCACATTGTGAGGGACCCTGTCCTCGGGCTGAGCCTCCCGGCTCTCATTCCAAGCCTCATTAGTCCCTCTTGTCAAAGCAAGCCTGAGCCTGCTGTGGCTGCTAGAGCGCTCTGTCCAAGCAGCCTGTTTTCCCAAGGAAAGCGTGGTCCCGAGGAGCGGATCCCTGAGGCTTGAGCGCTCAGTTGGCTCCACTGCGTCTGAGCCGCCTGATCTCTCCTGCAGGCTTCCTCTTCCTCAACACGCTCTTCATCCAGAGGGGCCGGCACGAGACCACCTGGACCATCCTTCGCCGCTTTGGGTACGACGACGAGCTGGAGCTGACGGATGACTATCTCTACCCGCAGTGCGTATCCTGCCGTGGAGTGGGGCGGGCAGGGTGTGACATCCCTGTGGTGTGCAACTCGGGCTCCCCAGCACCTTTGCTGGCTCCTTTCTGCACCCTGGGGTCTACCCCGTTCCTCAGCGGAGGCTGAATCCACACCCTTAGTTCATGGTCTGGTGCATGCTCCTCACCTTCCCCCGTGGGCAGGAGCTGACACACGGGGTTGGCGATGAATACAATGGTCCTTGGAGCTGCTGACTGTGCTGCTGGCTCTGATGTAGGCGGGCAAGGAGGTGGGGAATGAAGGCCTGTCCCTGGCTTCCCTTGACATCAGCAAGGGGTTTTTGAAGGCTGTTCTGTCTCTGCCTGAGCTGAGGCAGAATGGCTCTGTCGGGAGCAGCGAGCTGTCAGCGTAGCCCTCCTGGCTGATTCTGCAGCTGCTGTCTCTGCTCTGCTCCCTGCCACCCCGGAGGTGGTGATCTGGCAGTAATGAAAGGGTTTGGCTCGTGAGCTGCCTGATCCTCTCCCCGGACAGCAGGCTGCGTGGGGACGCGACGGGGCCCATGCTGGTGGAAAGCACCCCAGGGGTAGTGCTGTGCCCTACTGAAGCCCTGTGCACGAGGCAGAGCGAGGGCTACATCCTCCCCCTGGCTGCTTGGGCAGCGTGGACGTGCCGAGGAGAGGCAGCTGTGCACCCTTGAGGGCTTCTCCCCAAAACAAGGGGGCTGTGTCAAGGAATAGCCAGGCCTGGAGACAACCGCTGGCTCTGAGCAGGGAGGGAATGGGGACCTGTGTGCTCTGGGTGAGATCCGGCTTGGCCGAAGACCCACTCACACGCTGCCCTTCGTTCAGGGCTTGAGGAGGTTCACTTGGGTCTCTTCCGACAGGTTCCGCCTTCCCCCCGGCTGCTCCACGGAGCTCAACCACTTGGGCTACCAGTTCCTGCAGCGGCTGTTTGAGAAGCACGACAAGGTGGGCAGCGCGCGGTGGAGCTGCCTGGGGAGGGGATGCTCTCTGCTAGGCCTGCACATTTGGGCGCAGCTGCTCTCCTGTCCGCCCGTCTGTTCCAGGGAGCAGACGTAGCGCCAGTGAAGGGCTTTATTCTGCCGCAGCGCTCCCTTCACAGCTTCTTGCCGAGGCTTTGGGAGCGGGAGGTGGTCACAGCGAGCCGTAGGTAGTCGGATGGCAGCAGCATGTCAAGGGCGTGGGGTTGTGATCGCTACCCTTGGCCAAAGGGCAGCCAGTAAAGTTTGGGCCTTCAGTGGATGGGTCTGAGTTAACATCAAACCGGCGTAGCCCCTCGTAGTGCCTGGCTGCAGCACGCAGGGTGGCAGGGAAAGCGGGCATAGCTGCTGGCCTGCAGCCACGGACCAGGCACAAGCATCTGCACGGCTGCCGGCCCTGTGGAGGGGCTGCCGGGCCGGAGAGGGGGAGAGAAAGCACCTGATTTGTGCCATACTCTGGCTCTTTGGAGAGTGGGAGTAGGGGACGTGTTGGATCTGCACGCACCTGCTCGGACTAGTTATTCAGATGTTGATGTGCGCCGGGGGTACAGCAGCTCTGTGGCCACGGGGAATTGCAGCGCGGAGTCGACGCACGTCCCTGTGTGCCCAGATGCCGGCAGATCCTCTGTGGCCTGACCCTGGGGCACAGCAGCCTGAAGGTGCTGCCTTGGTGTGTGGTTAGCTGGTGGCCCGGTGACCACACAGACCTTGGGTTAGTTAGTTACCCTGCGGCGTGGAAGGCCAGGCTGGACCGATGCAGGCTGCTGTGGGGTGGCTGGCCCCAGGGAAGGACGGGGCTGTGGGGTGAGTGTGGACGGGTCCTGCCCGGTAGCAGGGCTGGCACCGATTCCAGCTGCAATCGCAGAGCAGAATCGGCCTGTTTCTTGTGCAGTGATGGGAGTCCCTGGGGCATAGGGTCTCTGCGCGCTCGTGCAGCTCTGGCCTTGCTTGCAGTTGATTTCTGCCGTTGAAAGCATCCCTGCGTCGTTCTGCTGCAGTGAGCAGGGTGGCTTGTGTGCCAAGGACTCGCTTTGGACCCCGACAATGCTTGGCATGGCTGCAGAGAGCTGCCGGTGTGTGCATGGACTGTGTCCCACCTCAGCTGCTGGCTCCCCTTTGTTTCGGCAGGACCAGGACGGAGCCCTCTCCCCCACAGAGCTGCAGAACTTCTTCAGCGTCTTCCCCTGCGTGCCCTGGGGCCCTGAGCTCTACAACACGGTATGCACCACTGATAAAGGCCTGCTTTCCCTGCATGGATTCCTCTGCCAGTGGACGTAAGCTCAGTCCCTCTCCCCTGCCTTTAGACACGTTGCTTAGCCCTTGCTGACCTTGTCGGCTTCCCGGTGCGCTCTGTCTCTCCAGGCTCGTGGCTTACCTGGATGTGCGGCACTGCCTGGAGTGCCTGGGCTACCTGGGCTACCCCATCCTCTCGGAGCAGGACTCCCAGACACAAGCCCTCACGGGTACGGCCATGCCCTCCCCTCCCGTCACGGCTCAGGTCTCTCCTCTCGCTCACCCAGCCTCTCTCCTGCCAGTGACCCGGGAGAAGAGGATCGACCTGGAGAAAGGCCAGACCCAGAGAAACGTCTTCCTCTGCAAGGTGCTGGGAGCCAGGGGCGCAGGCAAGTCCGCCTTCCTGCAGGCCTTCCTCGGCAGGAGCCTCGCGGTGAGTGGCTGCTCCCCTCTCCAGCCGCGCTGCGGCAGGGCGTCCCAGCGGAGCAGGAGGCAGAGCCGTGAGGCTGTTTGAGTGATCTGCTGCGTGACAGCACCTCCCTGCCCACGGCCAGGCCCCAGCCTCCCAGCAAAGGGCTTCACACCCCCCTCTGGGTGGCTCTGGCATCCTTAATTTTGCCGAAGGCAGCGGGCCCACTCCCTCTGCTTGTCCCGAGGATCTGGAGGGGCTGTGCCTTTCCCAGGCAGCCGTATCTCCCCGAGGTGATGCTGGCTTTCCCTGCGTGTTACGAACGGCCCCGCGGCTCGTGGCAGGCGCCGGCTGGCCTTCAAGTGGCTGTTACACCACGGGGCTCGGGGCAGTGTGAAGTGCTCTCCTTCCCCCAAGCACCGCTCTTGCTCCCTGCTGTCTGAGACGGTGTTTTCATTGATGGCAGGCCCAGAGGGAGAACCCAGGAGACCCATCCCTCTACACGATCAACACGGTGCAGGTCAACGGCCAGGAGAAGTACCTTATAGTAAGTAGGTAGCGAGGAGGGAATCGCTGCTGTGTCTGGCTCGCAGCAGGGCTGGGCTGTGTCCCCCTCCCCGTATTGCTGCAGCGCCATCCCGGCACCCCTGGGCTGGGCTGGGGCTGTGGTCACGCCGGCACAGTCCGTGTGCTGGTGTGAGAAACGGCCGATCCCCTTGAGACGGTGCTGTGCCACGCGTCCTTTCGCCTCCTGCCCCAGCTGTATGAGGTCAGCGCCGACATGAAGTTCGTGAAGCCGTCGGACGCAGCCTGCGATGTCGCCTGCTTCATCTATGACCTGAGCGACCCCAGATCCTTCAGCTACTGTGCCAGTATCTATAAGGTAGCTGGCAGGGGCCCTATGGGACTTCAGCCTTTGCGTGGCAGCCCCGCATCTCCCAGGGGTCGGTCGCTTACCCCTCGCTGGGACTTCTCCCTGTCTCTGCAGCAACACTACATGGACAGCCAGATCCCCTGCGTCTTCGTGGCCTCCAAGACAGACCTGCCAGAAGCGAGTCAGCAGCCCGGGCTCTCCCCTGCCGAGTTCTGCTACAAGCATTGCCTCCCACCGCCCTTCCTCTTCTCCTGCCACGGCCAGGGTCCACCCAGCACCACCGTCTACACCAAGCTGGCCACCGCCGCCACCTTCCCGTTAGTATCCTTCCCGCGGAGGGGGCTCTCGGCTGGGAGCAGAGCTCGGGGAGGGGGGCTGTGTCCGAACCCTGCCTCTGCCACGTCGCTTTTGGTTTGGTTCCTCTCTAGCTCTTGGTGTCGTCTGCTCGTAGAAGTAATTGAAACAAAAAGGCCACTTCTCCCCCTGCTTGGAGAGGGTGGAGTCTCTCTTCTGCCTCGTGTCTGTCTCTGGCAGATTTATTAGACAGATCCTGCCACAGGAGTTTTTATTTTTGAAGCCTAAGATAAAAAAATGCTGAAGGGGAGTAGCCAGCATAGTTTGCCAAGGCCCGCAGAGGGGGGGTGGCAGCTATTTTCTCCTGATGAGGTGGATCAGACTGAAAAAGAGGTCAGTGAAGCAAGACCTCTGTTCACGCAGCCTCCCTTTGGGAAGGAACCGCACCTGAAAGGGGCTGGGTAACGGGGTAGGGCGGCAGCCAGGCCGGTCACGGGCGATCTGGTAGGGAGAACGTGCCTGCCTGCGGCATGGCTCCGCTCCAGGGGCTGAGGGTCGGTGCAACGCCGGGGCAGAGCCCTCCTGAGGAGAACGTGTGAGTGCGTTGGAAGACAGGATGGGATTACCAGTGAGTGGTTTTCCCTCTAGCTTCTTTTCAATAAACAACTTTATTTTTAGAGCTGACACTTTTTTTTTCCTCTGCAGTATTAAAATTTAAATATTCTTAATATAACTTAGGGTATGTGGTATAAATAAATAACGGCGTAATGGAGGGCCAGGGATTGGGTGCTCTCCCCTGATTTAGTGGAGAATGAATAATGGATATGTCTTTCCTCCTCGGAGAGGAGCACGTTGATGCAGGACAGCACGTGTTTAGGAAGAGAATGTGTACGCCCGGGCAGGACTGGGTCCCTTCCCTCGCTGCCCTTAGGTCGGTGTCACCAGCTGTGCCAGCGTCTCCGCCTGCATCCGCTTCTGGGTCTCTGCGCTCTTGGAGTTGTAAAAGCAGCTTGACCTAGAAAGGAAGATACATACCTCCTTGCTGTACTAATTATTTAGGTGTTGGTGTGCTGTTTCCAGACCACGGGAGTGTAAAGCCACATCCATCCCACCAGCGGGGTGGGGAGCCATCATATGGCTTGATGACGATGCCGGGCGGCGGGGGCCGGGGAGCCACTCGCTGCTCTCTGCCTTCAGCTGGGCTGTATCCCCAGCCCGGAAGCCACGCCGCGGTTACCGTCCGTCCCCCCAGGGACACCCCCACTTCCCTGCTTTGGGGGGGG